CCCGGCCCCGCTCACCCCCCGCGGGCGCTCCGGTACCGCCTGGGCGCGGGCAGGACGCGGCGCTCCCGGTGCCGGCCCGGCCCCGCCGTGCGCTCCCGGTCCGGCCGCTCCCGGCCCCGCCGTGCGCTCCCGCCGCCGCGGCGCCTCCCCCGGCCCAGCCCGGCCCTGCCCACCGGGCGGCGGGAGCGGCGAGGGGGGGTCCCGGCCGCCTCCCGCCCCGCGCAGCCCCGGCACCGGCACCGCCGCCCCCGCCCCTGCACCAGCACAACCGGCACCGCCGCCCCGGGCACCCCCGGGCCGGCCCCGGGCACCCCTCGGGGATCCCACCCTGTGCCCACCCCCCGCAACCTGCCCGTGCTCCTCAGGGCACCCCAGCGCCTGCTGCCTCCGCGCCCCCGTTGCGTAGGGGGTGTCCCCCCCCAGCCGCTCAGCAGCTCCCCAACCCACTGTACAAGGGGTTCCCCCAAACCACCCATCAGCTCCCAGCGCTCCACACAGCCCTCCCCCTCCTCCCCGAGACCCTCCTGCGTGCCCTAAGCACCCCTCCTCCCTGCACGTCCCCAGGCCCCGGGTAATCAGAGCACCCATCGATCGGGGATCGGGGCCAGCAGCCACAGCCGCGGTGGGAGCACAGCGGGGGGGACCCGAGCAGGGTGAAGGGGGACACGAGCAGGGACAGGCACGGGAAGGGCCGTGCTGGGAGAGCCGTGAGCTGCCCAGGGCCTCACCTGCGGGGCAGCGGAGCATCCCAGCCCCAGCCGGATCCGTCCCAGTGCCAGGCGCGGCGCGGGCAGGGACACCAGGAGCAGCCCGAAGGGGTGGCGGAGCTGCAGGACGGCCCCGGCCGCCTGGTAGGAGTGAAGCAGGATAAACCGCTCCGGCTGACGGCAGATCCAGCCGCCCCGCACCGACGGCGGGACCCAACGAGCAGCACCGGCCCCGTGCCACGGCCCGGGGCCAGCGCGGCTGCTCCCGCGGCGTCGCACACGGCCCGGCCCAGCCCGGCGCCCCAGTCCCCCCGGGGTCTCGGCGCAGCCGGCTGCCCCCTGGGCATCTCTCCCCCGCCGGTTCTCAGGTCTCATCCCAACACGTCCCTTCTGCTTTCCCGGTGGCTGTTGTTTTCCTGAGCACTTCCAGCGAGGGGGGCGGGAGGACACCGGGCGTGGGGTGTGGTGACACCTCTGTGCTCTCTCGGACGCCTGGGATGTGGCTGTGGAGGAGCACGTGCTGCCCTGCGGCCCTGCCTGGCCCGGTCAGGGATGGGGAGGGAGCACTCGGCCAAAACCCGCCCAGGTGTGGATGCACCGGGGGGGATGATCCCACAGATGCAGCGGCAGAGGCCTCGACGACACGAGCTCCATCTGGGAATGAGGGTGTGAGCTCCTGGAATCCAACAGGAGGCCCAAGAACACTGCAGCCAGGCCAGACTGGTGCTGAGGAACTGGGGGAAGAGTAAAGGGTGCCCTGGTGGGCTGGCACCAGCCCCACCACCCCAGCAGCGCTTTGTCTTCCCTCCCCGTGCAGGTCTCGCCCCCCTGGAGCACGTGGTCAGGTCCACACCGGACACCGATGGGTAAACGTGGTTCCCATCCTGACGAGGGACCCCTAAATCCGTGAGAGCTGGGGAAGCAGGGAAGGCTCATCCCACCAGCGCCAGCGGCCTCAGACGCGCTGGGAGGAGGGAAGTGCCCGAAGAACCAGACGCCGCTCGCGCCGTTCCCAAAGCTCCCAAAGCTCCCAGACGGGTTGGGCGGCTCAGCCGCGTGTCTGCGGGGCACGCAGGTGACAGAGGTGACAGACCCGATGGCCCCGTGAGCCCAGCCGTGGACAGCCCGGCCCCTGGCTCACACCAGCGTGACCCCCACAGTGACCAGGCACCGCCTGCCCCCGCGACGTGACACAGAGTTCACGGCACACGCGTGGGGAGCCCGGCGCCGGCTCCAGGGGGTGACGTGTCCCTCTGTCACCCCCTGCTCGGTGTCACCAGCCGGGCTCCAGCCTCCTCCCTCACGGTGCTCTGGGAGCAAACCCGGCCAATCCGAGTCCTGTTGAACCCCGGAGGGGCGAGGGCGGTGCCTGTTCCAGCCTGCGCGGATCTCGCACCTGAAACGCGTTTCCCAAAAATCCCTCGCAGCGCCGGGGGGTGCTGGATTATTCCTGCCGCAGATCTGGGTTAAGGTGGTGCGTTGTTGTTTTGCCTACGTGGAGACAGGGAATTGTTATTTCGGGTGGAAGGGGGGAGGTGGGCAGGGAGGGGTCGTCCCTAAATCATTTGATCTCCCCGTTCCTGTGCTGCACAGCAGGAATGTGGGAATTCATGGGACACCCAGCCCAGGGTGGCGAGACCTTGGGCACCCACAGGGCTGCAGGGAGATGTCTCCTGGTGAGAATCAGTCAGCACATGGCTCTGCCCCCGGGGTTTGTCCTCTCTCCCTCATTAAAACCTTCGCCCAAGCCCAGGGATAAAACCTGCCTTTTCCCTCGACTTTTGATAAATTATTCATCTCCCAAGAGTTGTTTATTCCCCTTCTCCAAGGCAGAGGAGATGCAGATGCTGCCTGGGCTCCTGGAACATCCAGGGCCGAGGGTGCTGCAGGAGGTGGGGGCTCACCCAGACCCCCAACTCCCACTCCTGGTGGCTGGGGGCTATAGGAAAATGGGGACAGGGGAAGGGATGGTGCTGGGAGAGCACCCAGTGAGTGACACGAGCTCTGCCCTCACCAGCCCAGGCCGTGCCGATGGCAGAAGTGGCTCCCCACGGAGATCTCCCACCCCAGCCCAGCCCCCAGAGCCTCCCCCCCAGCCGGGGACGTGGCAAAACCCTGCGCCAAAAAGACGACAAAAAAGGCAGCAAAGAGCAAAATGTAAATTTGGAACTGCTACGGGCTGGAAATGGATCTTGTTCAGGGCTCTGTGGTGAACCACATTCCGAAGCCGAGGATGCTCCAAATCCCTTTGCCCCAGGGGAACTCGGTCGGGAGCATCGGACCCATTTTTCAATCGCTGCGCTCTCCTCCCCCAGAGCCAGCAGGAGTAGGGGGGCGTTTATCTCTCCACCAACTTGATCGTTTTCATCAAGCCTTTGATTAGCCTCTTTGTTGGCCGAAATTCCTGACAGAGCTTTTAACTACGGGCAAATGGATCGCTCCACGTGCCCTTGGCTGCGATAACACCGATCGCCAGAGCAATTAGGATTTGAGAGGCTCTAAAGAGCCACTCGGGAGCCAGGAGTGCTCAGATACATCCCGATATTCCCTCAGACATCTGGACCGCTCGGTGGGATGAGTCACCCTCACCACCAGCAGGCTGCCAGGCTTTTTGCTGAGCCCGTTTTTTTTTTTTTTCCTCCTCTTCCCTGGAAAAGCAACCCTTCCCAATCATAGGATTGGTTGGGGTGGGTTTTTTTTCCCCAACCAGCAATTCCCGGGAGCACCAGCCCGTGCTGTGGCGCTGCTCCAGGCGCCTCCAGCCTTCACTTCCAGCTCGGGAGGGGTTTGTGATGCCACCAAGGTCAGGACTGTCACAGCCAAGCCGCCACCAGAGGAGTCATTCCCGAGGTAGGCCCTGCGATCCTGCTGCTTCCCAAAGCCCCCTCCACATTCCCGGTCCCTCCACAGTGTTTCTCTGGGAAAGGAAAGCATAATTAACCATCATGACAATGAACAACTGGGGGGGGTGCAGACATGGCATGGAGGTCACAAAGGTTTGACCTCTTGGCTGGCCTCGCTTCCCAAATTTCCATCCCAGGGGCTGATCCTGGGGAATCGTGGTCCTGGAGCGGCTCAACCCTGCTGGGTGAATCCTGGAGGTGCCACGTGGGTCCCCACAGCTCCCCACCCACACAGTCCCACTCCCTCCCAAATCCCCCCAGGACAACCATTCCCTGCAGATAAATAACTGTCACTGTTCCACTTCCATGCCCAGCACGATTTTCCCCTCTTTATCCATCATTTACTTGTTCTGGCAGCTCCTCAGCCCCCCCAGGGCCTTTCCATCTCAAACCATCCCACATCCCTCCCGTGTTTCCCATCCCAGGAGCTCCCTCCCTCCTTCTACCAGAGCTGGAATGCTGAGATCCACCCCGAGATCCACCCCAGTACTGACATCCTTACCCAAATTTTCCTCCTCCCCACCGGAGTTTTCATATTCAAAGCAGCCAAACAAAATCCCTGAGGATTTATTTATCAGCCCTGCCTCCCATCTGGGAATGCCAGGATGGGCAGGAATCACACCGGGATCCAACCAGGATGGGGGGGGTCTTGGGGTCAGGGCAGGGAAATGGGAGAAAAATATCAAGACTGATAAGAAGTAAAAAAAAAAGAACATTATTTCTGGAATTATCTAAAACAGAGGGAGCACAGAGGGCAGTGGGTGGGTCAAGGGAGCCCTGAGCACAGGGAGAAGCCAGTCCTGGCTCTTGGATTTGAACCCAGAGCCGGAATTTGGGGCTGTGCCGGGGGGGGAATCGCAGCTCCCTGACTCAGCCTGGGCACAGGGAATCCATCTGGGCTGGAGCAACGGATCCATCTGGGCCTGGGGGAAGGGAGAAACCTCCCAGCAGCGCTGGGGAAGGCTGGTCTGGAGGGAGCTGAGGGAGAGGAGCTGCAGGAATCCCAGGAGAAGGCCAAACCCCACCGTGTCTGCCACAGCCTGCCTGGGAACGGGGTGAAATCCAGGGAAATGCTTCATCCAGGGGGGCTCTGTGGAAATAATGGAGCTCTCCTCTCACAGCAGGACACAGCCAGTTTTGCAGGACGAGCTTGGGTAGTTGATGGGTGGGGTTTTTTTGCCGCGTTTTCCAGCTCTTTGAGGTTATTCCAGCAGAAATCCCTTTCCTGCAGGAGGGACAGGCTGCAGCTCCCTCTGGCTCCTGGGGCATTTGACCCCCCCTCAAGGGCAACATTCCCAGCCCCTCTTCTGGCATTTTAGGGTGTCCCAAAGCCCCCCTCAGGGAAAGCAGCTGCGGGGAGAACCCCAAAGAGACACGACAGAGCCAAGCAGACATTCCAAAGGGATCATTTACTGCCCCAGCGATGCCCAGCGTGGGGTCTCTCCCCATCCCTGTGTCCTGGGGGTTTTCTTCAGGCGGGAATGGCACATCAGGACCCCGGGAATCACGGCCTGGAGTCGTCCTTGCCCTTGTGGTAGTCGGGTGGGGTGTACTTGCCTTCCTTGATCAGCTTGTCCCGCTGCTCCAGGATGGTCTGGAGCCTCTTGAACTGCCAGGGACACGGGAGAGGGGGGGTCACAGCCTGCAGGGGGGTCCCCAGGGCAGGTCCTGCAACCCACATTAACCCTGCCCTGGAGCTCCCCAGCCGGCTTGGAGCCTCTTCCTAAAAATTCCTGGGCTTTCAGGATTTATAGCTGATGATGATTTGGGTTTTCAGCCCGATGTTTTTGACCAGGCAGGATTTCCTCCAGGGGCTGACCCGAATCCCAAGGTGGTCTGGGTTGGAAAGGGACCTTAAAACCCATCCCATCCCACCCCCTGCCACAGGCAGGGACACCTCCCACCGTCCCAGGCTGCTCCAGCCCGGCCTTGGACATTTTTAGGGATGGGGCAGCCACAGCCACCAGATCCCTCAGGGAAGGGGCTGCTGGGGGTCCAGACCCCACCCCAATCCCCCTCCCCCATGGACTGGAGCCCCCAGAGCTTGCCCAGGCCCCTCAGCATCCCCTCCCCAGCCTGACCCAGCGCTTCAGGTGCCTCCAGCCCCCTCCCCTGGTGCTCCAGTGCCCCCAATTCACCCCTATTTGTCAGGACCCCCGAGACCCCCGCACCCCACCCGTACCCCCGATACCGCCTCCCTTCCCTTAACCAGGACCCTCCAGCCCCCACGACCTCCCTGTGCCCCCATCCCCTGGCACCCCTTTGCCAGGGACCCCCAGACCCCCAGCCCGGTGCCCCCCCCGACCCACCATCTTGGCGCGCTGCATGCACTCCATGAAGTCCTCGTACTCGGGCTGGCACTCTCGGCGGGCGCGGGTCTGGCCCAGCCCGTGCCCGCACTCCACCCACTCGCGCTCGAAGGCGTGGCACACGGCGGCCCTGCGGTTGGGCTGCGGCATGCTCTGCCGCAGCAGCCAGCTGTCCACATCGATGCCCAGCTGCTTCTGCAGGTCCCAGAAGGGCATGGCTGCGCGCTCCGCTGCTGCTGTCGCGACAGACGCGGCCCCTGTCGCGACACCCCCCCCCAAGGCCCGTCCTTCACCGGCCACGCGCGACGCCGCCAAGCGCGACTGGGAGCGCGACACCGCGCCGCGCTTTACGGGTGGGAGGGGACGGAGAGGAGAGGCGGGAGCGGCGCCCCCCGCGCTGCGGCGCCCCCTGGCGGGGCGGAGGATACGCCGCGCCCCAGCGCCCCCTGGCGGCCGCGCTCGAGGGTTCCCAGTGCTCCCAGTGCCTTCCCAGTGCCCCCCAGTGCTCCCAATGCCCTTTCAGTGTCCTCCCAGTGTCCTTCCAGTGCCCTCCAAGTGTCCTTCCAAGTGTCCTTCCAGTGTTCTCCCAGTGCCCTTCCAGTGTCTCCCAGTGCCCTCCCAGTGTCTCCCAGTGCCCCCCAGTTCTCCCAGTCCCTGGCTCTCTGCTCTCAGGGGGGCTGTCCTGTGCAGCACACACCCCAGGACAGCAGCCTTCCCTAGGGCCGAGGGGACCTCGGGAACCTGGGAGATGGCTCTTCCCTGCAGTGACCCCCACACCCTGAACCCACCCCCCTATTTCTGTGCCCCCCCCAAAATCACAGGGGTCACTCCAGATGCCCTTGGATGAACAGCCCCACCCTCCCTAATGAGCAAAACCTCATAAAAATGTTGATTGCAGGGGATTCTGTGCGGGGTGTGGAGGGGGGGGCTCCCTCACCCACCCCCCCGGGCCACGCTGGACACCCGTTATTACCATCACTCTTAAAACAAGAGCCCAAACCTGCCGGGCAACCCCCCCCGCCCACCTGCCAAACACACTCCACACGAGCTGGAGGAGCAGGATTTATGGGGCAGGATCCATGGGACAGGATTTACTTGGAAGTTCCCAGTGCAGTGCCGGGGGGAGTGCCAGGAGCAGGAGGGCACATCCTTCCCCCTGGTGCTGCCAGGGGACCTTTCCCACTGTGGGACCTTTCCCTCCTCCAGCACAGACAGGAGACCTTTCCCCCACCAGTGCCACCAAGGGACCTTTCCCACTGCAGGACCTTTTCCCTCCTGGTACCATCCCAGCCCTTTCCCCTCCATGGGTCTTCCCCCCGCCCCGTGCCGTCCCTGCTCAGATGATGCCGGTGGGAGCGAAGACGGGGGGGACACAGAGGGTCTCTGCCATCTCCCAGCCGCAGGACAGGGGGGTGCAGAGGCTCTCACGCTCGTCTTCCGCCTGGGGGGGCTTTCCCTGGAAGAGCTGGACGGCTTTCCTGCAAGTGGGAGACACCCGAGGGGGAGCAGGGAAGGGGGAAGGGTGGGCCTGGGGAAGGGGGAATCCCCGGGGTCCTCACACCCCCCTCCCAACACAACAACAGGCAGAGGTGAAGCTTCCCAGCCCCGTCCCCCCCACTCTGAGCGCCTCTTACCAGGCCAGGCGGGACATGGCGTAGGTGACGCGTGGCTGGGGACACCCCCCGAGCTGGGGCGAGGCTGGCACGGTGTAGGCCCCCATGTCCCCAAAGAGCAGCCAGTCCCCCACGTGCAGCCGGGGCAGCTCCAGCCCGTCGGCGATGCGATCCCCGGGGGGGCCCCTGAGGCTGCTGCTGCGGGACGGGCGCTCCGGGCAGGCTCTCTGGGGTGGGGAAAGGGAGCAGCCACAGGGGTGACGATGTCCCGTCATCACTGTGACCTGCTCCACCTGCACCCACCACCACGAAGGTCCAGCCCCGGGACCCCCCCCAGGGTCGGGCAAACCCCCCTCACCCTGTGCAGCCGAGGCCTGGGGCAGGGGCTGTCGAACAGGAGGCAGCTGAAGGCGCCGTAGATGCCGTCGCTGAGGTGATACACGAGGCTCTTCCCCCTGCCCGGCTCCTCCTCTGGAAGGCGAGCAAGGAGAGGGCTCGGGGGGGTGGATCGGGCACACGGGGTGGGCCTGTCCCACTGTCCCACTGTCCCACTGTCCCACTGTCCCACCTACCATCAGAGCCAGGCTGCTCCACGGGGACCTCTTCCAGGGCGGCGATGCTGGCAGCGAAGGTGAAGGCAGAGGTGACGTAGTACCGGCCCGGCCTGGCCACCACCTCCACCCCGGAGCCGTCCGGGAAGTACAAATCCAAGGCAGAGCTCACCACGGCAGCGATCTGAGCGGGAGGAACAGGTTCCCTCTCGGTTAGAGGGATTCCACGGCGAGCCAGAGCCTGGGAGAGCCTCCAGCCTCGCCCTGTGCCTGCCGGGGGCAGGTGCTGGGGGCTGTGGTACCTCCTCGAAGCGGGCTCTGGCGTCCTCGGTGCCGGGGAAGCCCCCGCCGATGTCCAGGAGGTGCATCTGGTAGCCCAGCTCGGTGCCCATGTCAAACACCAGCTGTGCTGCAGCCACGGCCTCAGCGAAGGCCTGGGGCTCCAGGCCACGGCTGCCGAGGTGGAAGCTGAGGGCACAGACCCCATTTCAGCAGGGTCTGATTGTCCCCAGGGAGTGACAGCACTGGGATTGTCACCCACTGGTGGCAGCTCTGTGCTTCCCGCATGCCATCCCAAGCCAGACCACCTGAACAGACCCACAGAGCCCCAAAAAGCCTTTCTCAGGGTCAAACCTGCCCCAAAGTGGCTCCAACAAGGCGAATCCCTGCAAATCCCTGCCTTCACCTCGCTCCCACCCACAGCAGCCAGTGGCTCTGAGGAGCACTGCGTTGTTCCAGCAGGGCAGAGCTCCCCACATCCTGATCCATCCTGAGCACCCCTCTGGAAGAAGAACCACGTGGTGTACCTGATGCCAACCACCTCCACAGCCTGCTCCTTGGCAGCCTCCAGCAGGTGCCGGCAGGATTCGAGCGTGGTCCCAAATGTCATGCTCGGGTGGACAGAAGGGCTGGAGTCAGCGGAGATCCCCAACAACATCCTGCACAGCAAAGCCACACTGTGCTGAGGGGGCTTGGAATCACAGGGCCACAGGATCATTAAGGCCAAGAAAGCCCTCTAAGATCACCAAGTCCAACCATGAACCCAGCACTGCCAAGCCCACCGCTAACCCATTTCTCCAAGTGCCACATCTCTGTGTTTTCTGAACACTTCCAGGGATAGTGATTCCACCACTTCCCTGGGCAGCCTGATGCCATGCCTGACTACCCTTTCAGTGATCAGGTTTTTTCCAAATATCCAATCTAAACCTCCCCTGGCATAGCTTGAGGCTGCTTCCTCTTGCCCTATCGCTTGTCGCCCGGGAGAAGGGACCGACAACCAACCTTCTACAACCTCCTCTTCAGCCCCTGTAGCACCCCACAGCCCCCTGCCCAGCTCCTCCTCCAGCTGCCCCTCCAGTGGTGCTGCCAGACACCCACCTGGCACGGGGGTGGCTCCTGGCCACCTTGCTCAGCTCCACCTCGTTGTCGAAGGTCATCAGCTGCACGCCGTGCCTCGCCGCGTACCTGATGTGGGCAACCTGCTTGCAGGGGCTGCTGTAGAAGATCCTGTCAGCTGGCACTCCAATGCCTTGAACCCGGGTGATCTCAGCCTGCAGGGACAGGGAACACACCCACAGGAAGGGCCTCGTGGCCACCACCAGCCCTGGGGCTTGTCCAGCCTGCAGCGCTGGGGAGGGCAGAGAGTCAGAGTTGCAGCCTGGGCTTTTCCAAGGAAAAGCTCAAAGGGATCACAGTGGGCTTTGTCCTGGCAAGGACAGACTGTGGTAAGGTGTTTAAAACAGCCTGGGAGCAGGAGAGGAAACAGGTGGGTTTAGCAGGCGTAGGGTTGGCACGTGACCCCTGGGCTGAGCTGTGACAACTCTGGCGCTTTCCCTCCCTGGAAACACATCTTATTTAATTATATAGGAGTAAGTGGCTTCATTTGGCTCCTCCCTGGAAATCTGGCTATTGCAAATGACGAGGAGGAGGGAGCAGGGAGGTTTAGGCTCAGCCTTCAAGACACCAAGAGTTGGATGGCTCTGGCAGTGGCACCCCAGGGGTGTGCCGTGCCACCAGCCAAGCCTGCCACCAGGACACCAGCTCCAGAGACAGGAATGTTGGTCAGAGGGAACAAGCCTGAGTTGCCAGAGAACAGGGATTTATGGGCCGTGTCAATAGAGACTTTTGACAGCAGAGGGAGACTCCTGCCCCCGTAAATGTCACCTAGAGAGTGGAGACTTAGGAAAGGAGGGTGAGCTCTGCCACTCTCCCACAAATGCTTGTAGGATGCTGGCTTGGAGCTGTCCTCCCACATCCTTACCTTGTTGGCACAGGCAAAGCCTGCCCCCAGCTCTGCCAGCAGCCGAATCACTCCTTCACTGCCGTTGCATTTCACTGGGAAATAGGGTTTCACCCGGGGTAGGGCCTTCAGGAAACGCAGGTGCTTCTTCACAACATCCCCGAGGTCTGCCACGAAGAAGGCTTGCTGGTCGCTCTAGGGGAGAGCTGGAGTAAGCAGAAGCTTCCAGGAGTGCCTCTTCCAAGGGGGGGAGGCGGAGAAGCAGCCCTTACCCCCTGGCACAGCTCCCCGGGGAGGTTCTCCAGGAGGTCTCTGGTGGTGAATCCCTCCTCCACCATCAGGAAATCGGATTCGCTCAGGTACCCGTTCATGGTGGGATGTGATGATGCTCCTTTAAAGCCTCCTTGAGTAGGGTACAGATTCTAAGTAAGCAACTCACTGGAAAAAGAAGGAATATGAAGGGTAGGGTCCAGAAGCATCACCAGCACCCTGGGGTGCTCCCCACCCATCCCTCTCATGGCAGAGCTGTCCTGGGCAGAGCTCTGTGCTGCTCTGCTCCAAACCACCACCTCAGTAGAGCTCTGGTGTGGGTTAAAGCATCTTGTTTTGGGGGAGGAGACACATTTCTCTGCAGCTCAGAGCTGTGTTTTGGCACACAGCAGCCTCGTCTCCATCAGCAGCAGTCTGGGCACCAGCACAGTCAACAACAAAGCCAACTGCACCGCGAAGGGGATGGAGGCCTTTATGTGCCAGGACGTGTCCCTTCCCGCTCTGGAATGCAGCTGGATCTGCTGTGGGGAGGATCCCTTATGGTTTCTATTCCCATTGACCTGTTTTCCCAGGCACACAAGCCCCAGGAAAACAGAGGCAGAGCACAGGCCCCTCGCTGACAGCGCCCGACCTGAGGACAGTCTGGATCCCTGCTGTGGCTCCTTCATGACACAAGGTGTGGAACCAGGGGACAGTTAAGCTGCACAGAGTTTGCTGGCTCGTCCTGGCAGAGCTTTAGCTTTAACAATCTCCTGCCCTGGATCCAGCCTGTCCCATAACCCAGAGAGCAGACAACATAGCAGGGAAAGCTTCCACTCTGATAATCCAGATCCAGCTCCAGGGCCCTTACAGGAACATGGTCTCTCTGATCTGAAGGGAGCAGGAGACAGAGGTTTCATTTCTCGGAGCTGCACAGCAGCTCCTCCCCACAGAGACCCACTGACAACATCTTGGGGGAGGCACTGGGAGAAAGACCACGCTGACCCTGGAGCAGCAGGATGTTGCAATGCATTGAGCAAGCCCCACCAGCAAATTCCAGAGCTGGGGAATGAGGTGAAAAAACATGGTTTTAAAAGCTCTTAGAGCCTCACACTCAGGAAGAGAGAGCAACTCCTCCAGCTTTACCCTTCACATCCCATCACTAAGCAGCACCCAGCCCACCAGGATGGGGCAGGGAAGCAGCGAACTGGGTCATTCCCATTGGAACATGTGCCCCAGCCTTGGACATCCCTGGCTTACCACGGCCCAGTTCTCCCTCCCAGGTGCTCAGAGGTGCTGTCAGGGGGGCTCCCCGAGGAATGCAGGGCTCCCACAGCACCCCGAGGTGTGGCTGCTGCTGGGGGTCCGAGGGCTCTGGGGAGAAGCAGTGACAGGGGTTAGTGATGGAGAGGGGCACTGACAGCACCCTCCACCCCCCCATCCCCAAAACTCAGCAGCCACAGGCACCCCTCACCAGCCCCCTCCTCGCTGTGCCAGGCAAGACATTCCCTCCCCAGAGCCCCTCCCAAGCCCCCTTACCTCAGAAAGCATTTAAACAGATCCTGTCATGGGTCTCCCGAGAGAACGAACTGGCCCCAGCGGTGGCTGTTTGTCCTGCCCCAGCTCCCTGCCCGCCCCCAGCCCCTGCAGAGGATGGGGGGGCCCTGCACCCCTTCTCTCCCAGCGCTCCCTCCCTGCTCTGCCTCCCAACCGTAGCCATGGCAACCAAATCCAGCCACCCTATTGGCTGAGCTGCCTCCGAGCATCCTGCATCCCTCTTGGAGAACACTCCCCCACCTCACCCACCCCCTGCCAGGGCTGGGGCTGCCCCCCAGGAGTCACCCGGGGTTCTCACCCAGTCCAGCTCACCCCCAGCCCAGCCCTGCACGTGGCTGCACATCCTGTGCACGGCGACCCTCGGGGGGGAAGACAGCCCAGAATACCTCTGAAATGCTGCTGCCAGGGAAACCAGGCTCCCTGCAGTGCCTGTCTGGCTGGGACTCCGGCAGGAGTAGTCGGGAAGATGTCAGGGACTGATCCTGCCCTTGCTGAGGTGCTGCCAGTTTTGGTGGGTTCCCTAGCAGCAGGTGCCTTGTCTGGTCCATCAGTGCTGTCTTTGCTGCATTTGGAAATGGTTGCACTGCTCCATCCCACAAACAGCCAGGGCTGAGCAGGGATTGTTTTTTTATTATTTCTTCTTGCTAATTTGCAGGTCCCTCCTTGGTGCTGCTGAGGACCAACATTCTGTGTGTGGCGGGGTCGGTGCTCCCTCTGAGGAGGTGACAGGGACAGACTTACCCTGGGTTTCTGTATTTAACACCGTGATCTTGGCTTTGCCACAGACTCTCCTGGCAACCAGGGCCAAGGAAGCTCCTGTCCCCTGTGAGATCCTGGCGTGTTTTCCCGGCGCTCTGGCCTGGCACCTGTCCTGGACTGCACTGCGTGGGCCGTGGGGAGCCATGCAGAGAGCATTGCACTGAGGGCAGAGCAGAGGGTTGCAGAGCACTGCAGTGCCAGTCCCTGCTGGGTGTGCCAGGCAGTGTCGTGATGCACAGCCCACGCAGAGCAGGGCCCTGAGCCCAGCCCACGCTGAGCCCACACAGCGCCAGGGCAAGCAGAGCTCAGAACCACAGACCCAAAGAAGGAATTAGGTTGAAAAAGACCTCTGAGATCATCAAGTCCAACCTTTGACCTAACCTGGACCATGGCACTGAGTGCCACGTCCAGTATCTTCCCAAACACCTCCAAGGATGGGGACTCCACCTCTTTCCCGGGCAGCCCATTCCAATGTCCGATCACTCCCCCTGTAAAGAACTTCTTCCTAATGCCCAACCTAAACCTCCCCTGGTGCAGCTTAACACTACTCCTCTTTTCCTGTCACTAATTGCCTGGTGGCAGAGCCCAACCCGCACCTGGCAACCCCCTCTTAATAGGGAGTCATGAGAGAGCGAGAAGCCCCTCCCTGAGCCTCCTTCCTGGGCTCGCTCCAGCCCCAAAATGCCCTTCTTGGACACAGAACCGGACACGGCTCCCGGTACCGGGACAGGGCCCGGAGCCACGCGGCGCCCCGGCCCCGCCCACCGCCGGTTAACCCCGCCCACCCCCGCATAACCCCGCCCACTCCGTTTAACCTCCCATAGCCGTTATGGGTGTGGCCGCCCCTCATATGCATATCCCCGCCCCCTCGGCGCGGCCCCGCCCCCCGGCGCTCGGCGGGCGCGCAGTCGGTGGCGGCCATGGCTCCGAGCGCTCCGCCCGGGCAGGGCCCGGCCCCGGCCCCGGGGCTCCGCCACGGCATCCGCGCCGTGCTGCTGGGCCCGCCCGGCGCCGGCAAGGGCACGCAGGTAAGCGGGGATGAGCGCGAAGCATCCCTCCCCCCCCGTGAAGCGAGCGGCCCGCCGGGACCGGCCCGCCCGGCCTTTCCCCGCGTGGGCCTCGCCGAGGCGTGTGCGGCGTGTCCCGCTCCGCGGGGCCTCGCTTAACCCGCGGCGGGGCTCGGCGGTAAACCCGCCTGCAGGGGCCCTTCGTCCCGCATCCCTTCGTCCCGTAGCGGGGCCGGCCCGCTGGGTCCCGGTGTTCTGGCCCCGCTGCCGGAGCGCTCGGGGGGGGCTTCGCGCCGGGCCTTGCCACGTGCGGGCGGTTCGCTGATCGCCCCGGTGCTGCCACAGGGGACGAGGCCCCACCTTGTCCACCCCAGCCCCGGCTGAGCCTCCCCCCTGCGGGCCACTCCGAGGTCCCGTCCGCGGGTTGCTCAGCGCTGTCCGTTCTCTCTCGCAGGCTCCCAAGCTCGCCGAGACCTACTGCGTGTGCCACCTGGCTACCGGCGACATGCTGCGGGCCATGGTGGCCTCGGGCTCCGAGCTGGGCAAGCGGATCAAGGACACCATGGATTCTGGGAAGCTGGTGGGTCGTGGGGGGATGCGCTGGGAGGGGGAGATGGGCTGGCAGCACCTGGAATGAGAGCAGACAAAACCCGCCTCCTGTTTAGAATTCCCAGTGACAAAACTAATTAGTGTGTGAAGGCAGGGGTGGAGGTTTTCTTTCTGTTGTCCTGCAGGAGAAACATCCCATAAAAACATCTTTCCTCTTCAGAGTTGCTCTTTGCTTACCAGCAGCCTGTTGTCCCTGGGGTGGTTCTTGCTTTTATGCTCACAGGGTGGGTTCTGGCTGGCTTCTGAGCACTGTTTGAGGTGAAGGTGTATCCTTGGAGCTGCAGGATGTTGCAGCCGTGCTTTGCTGCTCCTGCCTCTCCTCCACATGATACCTGGACTCCAGGTATCACTTCAGAGGGTTTATCTGCATCCCAGCTCTTGCATAAGTGGTGAAAATAAACTTAAAGGTGTTGCTGTGACGGTTGCAGCAGGTGCTGAGTGAGAGAGGCACTTTGGGTCCCCCAGAGACAAGAGTTAGAATCTCTGACATTCACTTTAGGAGGGTCTAATTATCTCACCAGAAGGACTGAACTATCTCAGGGAAGCTCGAGGAACCACAAATTGCAGCGCCTTGCCCCGCTGGGGGGCAGATCTCGGGCATCTCTGCGGCTGTCACGGGCTCCTAACACCCCGGGGAGCCTCTGCAGGCCCCAGATGGGGAGAGTGACGTGGCTTATCTCAGCTCCTGCCCAGAGCTCATTGCAACACCCGGCTGGTTATGAAAGATAGGGGTGTTATCTGGTGGGGCTGGTGGTATCAGCCACGTGTGTGTGTGTGTTCCAGGCTGCTCCACGGGGACACCCCGGAGCTCTGTGCTCTGGCTCTGTGATAACTCAGCTGGGAGCACAGCAGTTTGGGATGGGTTTATGCTCAGGGGCTGTTTCTCTGAAGGGTGTAATCAGGAAAGCGCAGAAGTGACTTGTTGCTTCACCCAGACTTCCCCCCCACCCCGTGCCTGTGGGGGCTGATGTTTGTGTGTTGTGACAGCCTGGTTCCCAAATCCTGCTGGGTCCCAGCTGTGTGTGCTGGAGAAAACAGCGCTGCTGAGGAGAGCTGCTCCCAAATAAACAGCTATTGTTGGGGCTGCAGCATCTGTTAGTGCTGCAGTGTGGAAAAGGCACTAATCCCAGCGGTATGCCGAGATCGTTGGATGGGAAAAAAAACTATCCAGCGAAGCCAGAGCATGTCAGCAACTACTGGGCCTTTACCTTCACACAAGGTTTATGGGAGTCAATGAGCAACTTGCCTGCTCTGCCCTTCCTGCCTCCCGAGGGGGATGTGTGGGTGAAGGTACAAAGTAACAGGAAATCAAGGTTATGTCGAAATTTTCTGGTGTGAGTTGGTTTAAAATAAATAAATAAATAAATAAAATAATCTCAGGAGTTTGCCTTCGAGCTGACAGTCTTCCTTGAAATACAGCAACCTTTGTAACAGCAAGGTTACAGCACTGGTCCAAGTCCCTGGCAGGCTGTGGAGTATTCTTGGAGTGAAGGGTTTCATTGGCCACATCCTGGTGTTGCAGCCGTGGCAGGGAGTGCTTCCCTGACGTGGGCAGGAGTGGGTTTTCACTCTGTTAACAGCAGTGCCCTGTGCTGTGGCTGCTGCCTCTGGCTGTAGGAAGGGCCTGAAGCAGCCTGGGCACTGACATGGATCACAGAGTCACGGAATATCCTGAGCTGAAAGGAACCCACCAGGATTATAGAGTTCAACCCCTGGCCCTGCACAGGACAACCCCAAAAGTCCCACCGTGAGTGCAGCAGCTCTGGAGGCAGCTGTGTGCAAGTTCAGGGTGTCCCTCCTGACCACGGGCATCTCCCCTCTCTGCAGGTGAGCGATGAGATGGTGGTGGAGCTGATTGAGAACAACCTGGACTCCCCTCCCTGCAAGAACGGGTTCCTGCTGGATGGCTTCCCCCGCACGGTGAAGCAGGCGGAGATGGTGCGTGAGACCCTGCCCAGGGACTGCTCTGGCACCTCCTTCCCTGCAGGCAGGGGTCCCTGGGCCCTCAGCCCCTCTGAGGTGGGTGTTTTTGCTCTTTGCAGCTGGATGAGCTCCTGGAGAAGAGGAGGGAGAAGCTCGACTCGGTCATTGAGTTCAGCATCCCTGACTCCTTGCTGATCCGGAGGATCACTGGACGGTAACGCTTCTCCCCAGGTGCTCGGTGCACGGGTTGAGGTTTCCTAGTCTGTGGAATGGCATCCTGATTTCAGAGCCCAGGTTGTCCTCACAGTGCTTAGGGCTGGCCCTGGTGCTGCTCTCTGTTAGATTTCTGCCATGATCCCTGACTTGTTCTCCCAGGGCTCGACCAGCCTTGAGCAGAGCCCCTTCCTTGCTTTATAAATTAGGGATTGCTGATAGGAATCAGCATCCTTGGTGCCCCCAGCTCAGCCTTTAAGGTCTTCCTTCTCCAAAGTTACTGTTGCTCCCTTAGGCAGGACACTGCACACATTTGGGCACCGGTGAACTTGCTGTCTAAGGTCAGATGTGTTTTCTGCTGCACTGTGTCACCCTCACGCCTCCAGGAGCCAGACCCCCTTCCCCAGCAAAGCAGGAAGTAAAAATCCCTTCTCCATCTCCTGCTGCAGCTGCTTTTCCAAACTGAAGAGGCCCTTGGTACAGAAATAACTGCAGAGAGTTTTCGTCACAAGTGAAAGGCAAATCGCGTTGCTGTCGCAGATGTTTCTGTGCTGATGAGTGGCAGGTTCAGGAGACCTTGTCCTCTGCTTTGCTGACACTGATTTTCTGTCTCAGGCTGATTCACCCAGCGAGTGGCCGCTCGTATCACGAGGAGTTCAGACCCCCGAAAGAGCCCATGAAGGACGATGTATGTGAGCTCCCAGGGCCCACAGCTTGCCTTGCTTTGGGTTTAGCTGATGCTTTGCAGTCTCCCTGGAGAAAAAGAACTCATTTCTTTCCTTCTCTTGTACCTTCTGTCCTGGCTTTCTGGGGAGCGTGGGGAACTGCTTGGGCAGCCTGAGCCGACGGCACTGCGGGGGAGCAAGGCCTGGAGGGATGGATGAAGGGATGGATGTGCTGCAGAGCTGGCCCGGGCTCTGCCAGCCTCAGAACTTGTTGGACTCTGTCCACAGCTGAAGTTGCGGTGGGTTGTGACTGGTTTCCATCCTGGGGAGCAACTGTAGCTGGTGCCTGCTCTCGGGGCTCCCTAGAGTGCTGTGTGGGGGAACGACCACAGTGCTGAACCCTCCTCTCTCCAGTGCCCGCTCTGGGATCTGTTTTGGCTGCCCCGGGTTCGCTCCGTCTCCCCCGCAGACCTGGGGGTCGCCTCTGCAGCTCCACATTTAGCCCGGCCTGGAGGAAGGGAGGAGGGGAGCAGGGGTTGTGGGAGCTGTGGAGAGAAGGGGGGGAAGCGTGCCAGGCTGCAGCGAGCTGGAGACTGTCCCCTTGCTTCTCCCAGGTCACTGGAGAGCCCCTGATCCGCCGCTCCGACGATAACGAAACCGCCCTGAAAACCCGCCTGAAGTCCTATCACACCCAGACCTCTCCCCTGATCTCCTACTACAGCAAGAGGGGGATCCATAAGGCCGTGGATGCCTCCCAGTCTCCTGACGTGGTGTTTGCCAGCATCCTGGCAGCCTTCTCGAGAGCAACATGTAAAGACCTGGTTATGTTCATTTAGGGCTCCGTCCCAGCACGGGGCTCTGCTTTCTCTCTCTCTCTCTGTCCCTCTGTGTCTCTCTGTCTCTGTGTCTCTGGGGCCAGGGAGGGTGAAGAGCTGAGCAGATAGAAGAGGAGGGGACAAGGTGATGCAGCCCAAGGCAGGGCTGTGCTAATTCTCTAATTAAACGAGCTGTTAACGGTCTCTCTCTCTCGCTCTATGTGAACTGTCAGTCTGTCTGCGGGTGTGGGAGATTTTGGCCTCTAGAGGCCGCAGCGAGCCCAGGCTCCGGCTGCCAAAAATGGGATCCGCACCCTTTTGGGTCAAAAAGCTTTTGTTCCATCCTAGAAATGCACCTCCCTGGAAGGAACTGTACTTCCAGCTCCTCCTGGCTGCTCCACAGGGGCCTGGGAGAAGGCTGGAGGTCGGGATTAAGTAATGGGGGAGGGATTTTCCCAGGGGATGTGAAGGGGCAGGAGTGAAACGTGGGGTTGCTGTGTGTGTGTCACTGGGGGGGCAGCCATGGGAGGGATGGTTTGGCTGCTGCTCGGGGCTGGGTGACAGCGTGTTCTCCTTGTATGTGTTTTATTCCCTGTGGGATGGCAGGTTACCTGAGAGCACAGCCTTGTCTTCCTGTGCTGATAGGACTTGGGGGGGGCAGAAAGTGTGTGTGGGGGATTTTCAACCTCTTGTCATTTGTGGGCCCTAATATAGCAAATTAGTGCTCCTTGCTCTTTTTAACAACGTGGAGTCTGTGTTCAGGGTTTGACAGTCACTTTGTGGCAGGTTGGGATCTCCTGAGGATAAGAAAAGCACTTGGGTTTTATCTCTTCACTCCTGCCTTGGTTTTGACCAAGGAGATGAAGATGTGTTGAGCTTCTGATCCCAGAGTCTAAATATAATAAAGCCTTATTGCAAAACAAATGATTTCTCAAGGCTGGAGAGACAGCATTATTAACCACTGGCTCCACGTGCCCTTGAGCTAACGACCTTCATTAGGAGCTCATGGAAATGTTCCTGTTTCTTGAGCAAATCCAACGGCTCCCTCAGGCTCTCTGTTTGAGGACACTCTTAGGGGGTAGTGCCTTGTCTTCTCAGGGTGACACTGCAGGGCTGGCACTGACCTTTGTCCACGAGGGATTCCAGCCCTTCCTGGAGGACCCCGCTGTAAATACAGATTGGCCCAGGCGAAACTTTGTCCTTTGGCCTTCCATGTGTATTTGCTGATTGAGAGTTACTGAGTACCCTCCTCTCCAGAGGAAATGGCCCATCTCCCTCCTGTGCACTGAGCTGCTGGGAGCTCTGTGTCCAGAGCAGATGCTTAATCCTCAGGAATCCCTTGCTCTTTTTCTTGATAATTTCTCCTTTGTCTGAAAATCCCTCTCTGTCCTCATACATCCTTTCCAGGGAAACAACCTCTTCCCTTCCAGCAAACTGGAAATGGCACCAGGGAACCGAAAGCAGTTGACTTCTTTCTCTTGAAAGCACATGACTGGGGAGAAAGGGTTTGGAAGTAAACAGGGCTGGTTTTGTCAGCAGCCTGCAGTCCCCTGGGATTCCCAGATGGCCCTTGCTTTGTCTCTGGCTTTCCTGTGGAAGGGCAGCCCCGATGTCAGCACGCTGGGAGGTTGGGATAGCCTTTGGGATGGGATTCCTGTGCTCCAGGGAGGGGGAAAGTGTGTTAGAGCTGCCCTGGCATCTCAGTGACTGTCAAGACATTCTGAGTAGAAGCAGCTTTTATCTTGAGAGAGTCAGAGAGAGCTGCAGCTCCCTCCATGCTGCCATAATGGCAGGGAAGCCACTTGGCATGCCTGGATTTGGTCAGGGTTTTACTCTACAGCAAGAACAAGGCGTTCCTCCACTCTCCATTCCTTTCCTCCCTTGTGCTCCCTTTGCATCCAGCTCACCAGCCTCTTTCTGCCTTAAGCCATGCTTCATTTTGTTTGGTTTGGGTTTTTTTTTTTCCCCTAAATATTTTTTTTTTTCTCTTTGTTCCCATTTATTCCAGCTGAGTGACTCCATGAACCAGATGAGACACCACCAAACGCTGCACACTCTGCTACATCACCCATTGCAGCCCTCCCTTGGGCTGCAGGGAGGGCAGCTAGGAGTGGGGGGGGGGTTATGATTGATGGGAGGGAGGGGGGAAAGGAGGTGGTAAACAAGGGGTTTGGGGGGCTGATTTGGTAGGGTTTTGGATGGATTTCTTATTTGGCAGAATCATTGTGAAGAAGAGGTGGCCTTCCCCTTAGAAATCATGTTTGGGGGAGGCAAAACAAGAGAGGGAAACACCTCTCCTGGATCAGCTGCAGGTCCTTGACCTGTTGGAGGGTAGGGTTAGGTGCTATTCCAGGCTTCTCCAGGACTTTCAGGGCTTGTCTCGTGGGCTCTTGATACCCTGAGGCTGCTGAAAGGTTTGCTGTGATTTTCCTGAAGTCGCTTCCTGTCAGTGAGGACCAAAATGAACGAATGGAATGATGCATCGTGTCTGAAATGGAAAGGAGAAAGAGGTGCCATGGGTTTTTCCTGGAAGTTTTGTTTTTCTTGTTCTCCTGCATTCCTAAATGCTGGCACAGAGACTTCTCAAGGGTTCTCTGCTGCTGAAGAGGGGCTGTGGCTCTAGTCCAAACCTGCCTTACCTGGGTACAGGGTGGCTTTTCTGTGATCATGACCAAGCTGGAATTCACACAATGCTGAAGAAATGCAAAAGAGACCTTCTTAATTGCCTGCAAAAATAACACTTAATTGGGGGGGGGGGGAGGGGTGTGTTTTTTGCATTTCTTTTTAGATCAAATGGTGCCTTGTCTAACCTCTGAATCAATAATAAAATAACCCCTTTACATTTGTATCTGGTGCTGTGTCCTCTTTGACCTGCAGACAGCGTGGAGGATGAGGAGGCAGATGACAGCATCGACTAACAATTGTGCTGGGTGGATCCTGGGGCCTGATCCTATCTCAAGGATGTTCTGTGCAGCTGAAAATGTGGCTTGTAATTCCTTTTATCTCTTTTTCCTTGCTGAGTGTGTCCAATGCTTTAGATCACCATAGCAATGGTGCCTTTTGCTGGTTCTCTTTCCTGTTCATGCATGACTCTGAAAGCACTGAGCCCCTCTGTATCCTGTTTTTCTCTCTACAGCTCCTTGCAGGTATTTCAACTGATGTAATTCCTTTTCTTTCCTCCTCCCTCTGCATCTCCAGTGTGTGGAGGAGCTGATGTTATTTTCTTGTCTCTTCCTGCAGCAACTGGAAGCCATGTATTGTGTGTTCTGCTCATTTGCTTTCTGCCTTTCAGACCTTCTTGCATCCCTTCCTCCACCAGTGCCTCTCTAAATTCACAAGGGGGAAAAAAAAATCTGTCCTATTGCAGGGAACGAGAGCATTTCCTGCTCTCCCTTTCTCCTGCCTCCCCAGGGACCCTGACCCTCAGGTATCCCAGAGGAGGCTGCTCTTGATGTGCTGAAGGAGAGTTGTTTATCCACACTCCTCACAGCCCTGCTCGTGTTCAGGGCTTTGGTTCAGGCACCGTGGCCCAGCACCAGAAGGGGTTGGGCTGCATATGCCCATTTCCTCCCGAAATTACTGCTTTTCCAGCCTAATTGGGCTCTCCTGCTCCTCCGCCATTCAGTCTCTGTGCTCAGGTGTCTTTATTACCTCTCTGTACCTCCCATTGCCACTCTCCCTCTTTTGAAGCCAAGCTTGTGCCTCCCTGGCGTTCATGGCGTTCTTCCCTTGTTCCTTTTGATGGTGGATGTTAAACAACTATCTTCCTGGTTGTTTGGGATCGTGTCCTCTACTCCCTGCCTGCTGTTTCAAAAACCTGTTCTGCCTGCTCCTCCTGGCTTTCTGGTCTGTGGGATGGAGGTGTCTTGGCTCCTCTGAGGTGATCCTTTCCTGAGTGTGGAGTGGGAAATGGATTGTTGGGATGCTGTGGAGTTGGATCTGTGCTGTGACCCGTCTCTCTCATGCTGACCTTGAATGTTTTCCACAGCACACGATGCTCTGCAGGTGCTGTAAATTCCTTCTGCTCAACCATTTCGTTCCAGCAAGCTGCTTATCAGGCACTCTTTTGAAAACTGTGTTCATATTTCATACACACAATTATTCAGCAGCTATAAAAGGGGAAAATTCCTATTTATAGCACAAGGACCAGCATCAAATAGGACACTGAATTCTCACTGATAGAGGAAGTGACCTGTTCTCTAATGCAGCAATATTTCTGCTGAAAAGAAACAGCATCTTGGATGGGGGGAGGGATGAAAGCCCTGGGCCATCTCTTTCCATTAAAAATGTGCTGCAGACCTAAAAATGCATCTGCCCTTCTGCCTTCCCAACGAAACCTTCGGCGATGGGAATTGCAGGGGAACCTTTCACTGTGGGTTTGTGGTTGGTGGTAATGAGCCCACCGACTCCTGACAGTCTGGTTTGGAGCTGGTCTTAAGTTTCTAATTGCTACCTGATCTCTGACCTTGACCTGGGAGCGAGGAGGAGTCACTGCAGAGATTTCTGCTGCGGGCAGTAGCTCAGATCCAGGTCTGGGGGGAGTTGGTGCCATCACGGTGCACTTGGCACAGCCCTGAACCAGCGAGCACATGGGGCTGAGGAACAAAGAACCGGCTGGGAGCAGTGAAGGGAGGGGGTGGAAAGGTGGGAAGAGCTCAGGGGGCACCGGTGGAACTGTGGATAAGGTGAGAGCCTGTTTGCTCTGAGCCTGCTTCCCGTGACTGCCCCTGCTCCCCCTTCCCTTCCAGGCATATTGGGCCAAGGCCATCACTGGCCATTCCCTGCTGCCCCCCTGCCCTTCCCTCGGTCTCTTTAGGAAGAGCTGCAGTGGGTGATACCAAGCGAGGCCCTGGGAGGTGGAGGACCGGAGGATGGGATTCCCCTCCTGTCGCTGTGGCAACCGCTGGGCAGGGAAAGCAGCAGTGGGATGCGATGGGTGCGCTGGGGAGGCTGCGGGGGCCGGGCTGCGCTGACATCACGCAGGGAGGTGGTGCAGAGGGAAGGGGAGTGGGAAAGGGAGAGCGGGGAGACTGCGGAGGGGAGAGCGCTGCACCGGGAGTGGGCTCCGGGGACAGGTAAGAGATGCTCCGGGGCAGCGGGGCAGGGTGGGCTCTGCGAGCGGCTGCAGGACCAGCGCCTGCCTCGGCAGCGCTCTGGGGGATGTGCTGCGGGATGGCTCCTGGGAAGCAGGAACGTTACACAATGCCCGGACAGCCTGGCACAGCAGGGCTTGGCTCTCGGACAGCCAGACCAGGTCAGAGCCTGGCTGGCTGGTGCAGGAACTGGTGCAAATGCTTCCCCCTCAGGATACCAGCGTGTGTCACTGGCACTGTGCTGGGAAGAGCCAGGAGTACCTGAGCCTTCAGAACAGGCTGAAGGGACGGGGGAGCAGCCCTGGTCCCTCTCTAGGAAAGGGGAGCAGAGTTCTCCCTAGGGATTAGAGCACAAGTCACTGATGAAATGAATCAGAAGTTTGGAGGCCTTATCCCCTGAGCTACATCTATCTTAGAGGAGGCTGTAAGTGGAGCTGGAGCGCTGGGACCGATCCCAGAAGCGCGGTTGGGGTGGGAATCCCAAAGTGCACATCTCCAGCAGCCTCAGCACTTACCCTGCCTGTGCAGCAAGCAGGAGCTCTGGGGAAGGCAGCCAGGGGCATGGCCATTGCCAGGAGCTCTCTGGATGTGGGTCCTGGGCATCTGCAGACCTGGAAGGCGAAATAACGAAGTCCTTGAGACCTCTCTGGATGTCGTGTTGCCTTTTAGCACGGCGGTTGCATAACGGGATCCGATCTGCTGGCGGAGGGAGCAAGGGTGACGGTCACCTCTGTGCCCTGCAGCAGCCCAGCAGTGCCAACCCCCCCTCCCCGGGGGGGAATTTCATCTTTCTTCCTAATCCAAGAGTTCCTTAATGCTCGAAAAAGCTGGTGGGCTCACCAGCTCCGCTTCCACGCGATGTAGGGACTCCACGCCTACATGCAGCTTTAGCAAACTAGAAAGTGAGTTTGTTAGCACCCACTCATCCGTGCCAACCTGATTTGGGCCTGTTAGGATCCTCGGTGCATCTGACTGAGGAAAGTATGTTTGGGGTCAAAAGCCCAGTGTTGGTAACCCCTGTTGGTGTCAGAAACCGGTACTGGGGTGGAGATGGAAGAGGCACAAAGAAAAAACCCTGTTTGAAATCCACAGGGAGAGGCCACTGCTCCTGTCCCAACCACTTTGTTGAAATAACACATTTCTGGAGTCATTTGAAGGGCTGGGGGGCAGCAGTGGGGACATGGAGAAATGCAGCCAGGAGTGCTGGAGAGCACAGTTGCAGTAACGAGCACAAACAGGCTCTAATTAGGGAAGCAATTGCTGCGCGATGCACAATCCTTGCCCGCGAAGGCACCGGCGCTGGGTCTGTCAAGGGAGCGCTTGGGAGCGGCTCAGGTGGCCACGGTGCTGCTTGTGGTGTGGAAACTGCAAACAGCACCAGCCTGTGCTGCTCTGTGGGGCTTCTGCGGGAGCCAGGGGTCGGAGCCCCACGCGTGGAGGGTGCCAGGCAGTGCTGTCACCCCCGGGGCGGCGTGGCCAGCTGTGCCCTGTGCCTCTGGCGTGGGCAGGCAGGGAGGAGAGGGCTCATGAGCAGCTCTGTGCCAGCCCTCAGCACCACGCAGGGCAGCTGTGCTGGGAAGGAGCCAGCCTGGGATAGGCCCCGGCATTCCGAGCGGGACCTCACCGGAGCCAGGCTCCCAGGGCCAGGTTGGGGAGGGTGCAGGGAGGAGTCGGCGCTGCTGCTCTGCAGTTTCAGTCCCTGAGGTTGTGGTTCTGCACGGCTGGCAGCGGGACTGCTTTCAAAGTCGTGTTTCAACTTGATTTTTTTTTTTTTTTTCCCAAGGTTATTCAAAATTTAGTGGGGGAATGGCACCAGAACCTCCTACTAGCAGGAGGGCCAAGTCAACCCTCCCAGTCCTTGACTTTCTCCGTGGCTCAGCTGGCTCTCCTTGCTTTCCCCCACACTTGCCTACACTGCAAAAGGGATGATCATGTGAATATTACATAGTCTGGCATCTGCACATCAGCTGCAGCAGCTGAGGCTCTGACATGCTCCCAGTGCCTTCATGTGACCCCCTTTCACAGCCATGCTCTTACCTGTGCAT